GTTTTTCGTAAAATAATTTGTCCCCGGTGGCGACAAATTTCAGAATGGGACTGACAGAATTATTATTTCAACAAACATATTTCTCCACAATTCACAATTGTCAGCTTATACGAAAACCATGGTTTGGCTAGCCAAAACCATGGTTTTCCAAAAAAAAAGGGGTGTTTGGCAAATTTTTTTCCAAACCATGGTTGGAAAAAAACCCAAACACCCCCTTAATGTGTTCTATTTGGAAGCATAATCTGTAAAATTCAATGAGTTTTTCATTGTCAGTCTAAAAATGGGACAAATAAAATGTTGATATTAACGGAATAATGAATTTAAGTTATTTATGGGTAGTTTAAATTTTTCCTGAGTGAGACAGGGTACGAGGTGGGAGGAGGAGTTACGAGAAGAGAATTAGGTTAGAAAGGTCTGATATGGGGTAGGGTTTGGGCCTGGGCCCTCCATCTATACCCAAAAAAAAATCCCGGAGTAACGAAAGAATGGATGAAAAACTTATAAAATTAGATTGGTTTATTGGGCATGGGGTGACAGTCCCGTCATGCGCAATTAGTCAGATAATCCAATAAGGACATAGTCGCATATATTTGGTGATTAATAAACAAGAAATAGATACAAAATTTATTTCTTTATAGAAGTTCATTTCGCAATAATTTTGCAAATAAACTAAATTTCATATTTTGTTTAAAAGAACTAATTATAAGTATGAAATGATTTAGAACTTACCAGAATATGTTAAAGTTTTTTTTTTTGGGTACAAAAAAAAAAAAGAACAAAGTTAATCATTCAAAGACTATATATGCTCCTTACATAATAATGTTCAACCTAAACGCTATGATCATTCATTCTCCAAGGACGGGACGGCATCAACTTGGCTTAGTGTATTAGATGACAGGAGATTACTGATTACTGATTGGTGAACATGGAAAGAAGTCGAACTTCGAAGGTGCAAGAACGTGATATATCAAACGTCTAGAGCGAAAGGGTTGGAATTCTGTGATGGACTTAATTCCAGTACTGCTCCTAATATCATATCTATAAATGAATTTAAATCATAACAGCATAAACCCCCATGAAGGGCCTTTGGCTCGTTCAAGGCCGTGGCTCTCTTTGCTACAGTCTTCGTCTTAGGCCACATCTATCATACACTCCGTCTACTGAGCATAAATTCGCTGAAAACAATATGATCCGTATAAAAAAGATTTTTTTGGTAAAAAATTTTATTAAGCACGAGAGACACTTTTTATTACCACTAATCCAAAATTGCAGTTTGCTTACTGTTAGAGCATCCACAGGACAAAGAGACGATAACTGTTCAATAGAGAACTTCATGAGCCGGGACGCGGGCTCAGTCCCAAAACCTGAGTAGGGAACAGTTAAGAAATGACTCTTTCGGCTGAGCTTGCAGACTAAAGTTATTAACTAAAATCAGAGTTCCAAAGACGAAACAGACACCCAAAATTGACATCTTACGGGCGACAGGGAATGGTACCAGCGCTACGTTTTTCTAGTGAGAGAGCAAGACAAGGGAAACAAATGAAACCGCTAATAAAATTTTCACCCAAGCCTCAGCTTCCCCAGCCCTAGCAGACCAAGAACCAGAGAATTGAAGAGAATACTTGTTGGTCAGATTTGGATACAAAATCCCCCAATGCCGACCTGATTCTCGTGTTCCCTCGTCTTCTTCATCAAACAGCTCGTATACGTAAACACACGCCACTCCTTCCTTCCTCAGTGGCGTGCCTTTGCCGGCCTTCAAATGCTTCACGAGACCTTTCAGGTACATCTCGGCATACCCCTCGTTTGTATCCTCCTCCTTCTCAGCAATGGCGTCGGTGCTCGGCCAACCCGTCTCTGTCACTACAATGGGTATATTCTCATACCCAGCCGCCCCCATTGCGCTCACCACCGCATCGATCATCATATCAAAAAGGTTCTGGTACCGGACCCCAGAGGCGATATCGTCTCTGAAATTGAAAGGGTGCTCTTCAAACAGAGCAAACCCAATCGGGATGGCGAAATTGAGCTTGTACATTTTGTATGGGTACAAATTGATCAAGAACGACGAGTTGGTGTGGCTCAGGAACTGGAGGAGCGGCCCCATAATATCAACCCCGGCGAAATCTTGGAATCTAGCGGCTGAGGGAGGGAACGACTTGGTAATAACGCTGACGAAAGAGAATGAGGTGGAAACGGCGACATTGTGGATTCCAAGATCGTGAAGCGACGAGTAGACGTTTCGGATAGCCGGGAAGATAAGGTCCGCAGCCTGCGGCGAGGCGACGGCGAAGTCGTTGCCGACCGAGATGGTGGTTATGTTGACGCGAGGGTAGAAGGGCACAACGTGATGGTACAGCCACTGGACGGCGTTGGAGCGGTTGGTGGCAATGGGGGAGACCAAGCTGTTAGGGATGGTGAGAAAGACGGAGACATTGGTGTACAAGAAGGGTCGAATGATGTGAGGGTCAGAATCTCGGAGAAGAAGAGAGTTGGTGTTGAGGGAATGAAGGGCGGTGGGAATGCGGTGGGGCGACGACGAACGGGAGAAATGGTGGGTGACGCCGATGCATGGAAGGGAGGAGATAGCTGGAAGGAGAGAAAGAATGAAGAGAGAGAAAGTGAGAAGGCGAAACATAGTGGTTCAAGTTGGTTGGTTGTGAGAAGGGGGATATGGTAAGGAAGAAGGGGAAGGTTTGTTACAGATTTGGCGGGCTCTCCAGTTTCTGCTGCTACCATGAGCTTCATTTCAGTCCCTTTGGATTCTCCATGCCTCGCTTCGCTTCATCATCACGGTGCTTTTGGGATGTCCTGCTGTAGGAGCCCTTATGCATTGATAGCACAAAGCCATGAACCAAAAAATTAAAAAATTAATGTATTAGTGAATAGCTAGTTCAAGTTGTTTATAATGTGTTATTTTTTTCATGAAAATTTAAAATTAGATGATATGAAAATATATATATATATGTGACAGAATGCAATAGAAAATTTTGTCATAATCCTAGTAAGAGAATTTGACCTAAGTTTTATTTATTTTTGGGAAAATTATAATCAGGTCCTAATCAAGGGATTTAATTACTCTACACTCTGTTAACAAGTAAAGAACAAGAAATAACAAGTTTCAAAGTAAGGAATGACAACAAGTTCAGACTGGTCACTTGTATTGAGATTTTTTGGTAATTAAATTTTTTTTTAGACCTCTTACTAATTCTCCTTTTATTTTTTTTTAGGCACCATCTAAGCTATTTAATTTTTATCCCTGAATAATTATCAATATAAAAAATAAAATTTACAATAAAGTTATAAAATTTACAGTGTTACTATTCGTCGGGAGAGCAATAAAGGAGAAGGCAAGGCACAATCCGTTGATTGAGGCTGAGGGTCTCCGTTGCCACATTTTAGCAAAAACCATATTTGACATTAATATAATTATTTATGATTTACGACGCCTGGTAGTAGCTAGCAAGTTGATATGAGGTCTAAGATGGGATTGGACCAAGGGAGTGTTTGTGTTAACAAAAAATTTTTTCTTAAAAAATATTTTTACGTAAATCAAGACAAAATTTTTCTTATATACTTATTTCGTATATCGTAAAATCATTTTTAAAATTATAATTTGTTTTCATCCAAATACCAAACTAAACAAAGAATGGGGTATGGCAGAAATAAACAAAAGGAACGAGGAATGATGAAAAGTCAAGTTAGTGGGAATAAAAACAAATGAAAAATTGATTAAAATTAAACTAAAAAGATATATATATATATATATATATATCTCTGTTTCAAAATACTTATTTTTAAGATCATGCATATAATTTTTAAAAAAACTCATTAAATAATTTACATTATAATAAGATTTGATTTTACTTGATTAAAATATTTTTACTTGGTATATTTAAAATATATCCTTATTTTATCATTAAAAAAGTAGAATTTCAGAAAAATCATGAATGCTCATTAAAATTATAAAATAACAATTATCTAAGAAACACCAAAACTTTGATAACCCAAAAAGGATGTGCCTTTTTCTATAATTTATTTTGCCTTAATTCAAGCTGACGTGTTTCCAATTCCAAAAACACCTTTCTTAGAAACTAAGAAGACGATGGCAATTGGCAATGGTGTTATGGATGGAGGAAGTGTTTACAAGTTGATGCAGAACATACCAATTTTCTTTATCCAAGAAAAGGATGGGAAGGTGTGAAGTTTAACTTTAATATTAAAAAAAAAGGGAAATTTGGTTAAAAAAATCCTGTTTGAAAATTTAATTAGTTAGAAGGACATGAATTTGTGCCAGTACAATTATGATACGTAAGTGTAACATATCTTCTATTGTGTGTAACATATCATTAATGATGTGTAATAATCATCAATACAGAAAGTTATTTGCACATAGCAAAAGATATGGTGCACTCATAAATCATATTTGCACATGTTCAAATCCAAGTCTTTTTCAACCAATTAAATGTTCAAACCACAATTTTTTTTTTACCAATTCTCCCCTAAAAAACTGGATTTTAATATGGGTTATATCATATGAATGCTGAGATTTCTAATTTCGCGACTTCATTTTTAAAAGTTAAAATTTAGTACGCTTCTGTTGAATGAATAATGAGAGGTTATGAGGTCAAAAAAAAAAAAACCAAGAATCATGAGAGGTTAATTTACTTTAACCTTTGAAATTGAAAAGGCCCTGGCCCACCGATGTCAAGGCCACCATTAGGCGCCTGTCTGGCTGTGTCCGGGAAAGATATATTTGTATTATTCAATATTCAATTAGATATTCCATTCGTGATAAAATTCCCTTTTCTTCTTCACCCAAAAAAAAAAATTCCCTTTTCTTTTTTCGTCTCCCCCACGTTAATACTTTTATTTTTGTTCCTTCAATATCCCTCATTGATTCGATGCACATTGACTTGCTCTTCCTTTTTTTTTTCCCTTTGGTTAATTTTGTCCAAAGATTCTTGAAACTTGGCCTTAAAAAAAAGAGCAAGTTCCAAAAAAAAAATGAGAACTTTCAAAATTGAAATCCATGGAGCAATAAACTTGGTCGAGTGATCCTGATGTAAGAGAGACGAGAGGGGTGCAATAAGAATTAACATCTGATTATATAATTGATCCGTCATCATTTTTTTCATCTTGTTCGGTCCCTTTTACCCTTCAAATCTGTAACTGACTCAATCTTCTCTTCGCTTTAAATCAGCAGTCCCCGCAGACAAACCTCACCGATCCGCCATTTCTCATTCTCTGTTTTCAAGGTAAGCATGCTCTTTTGATTCTGCCAGCTCGACAGCATTTCATTAGCTCCCGACTCCATTCTAGGGCAGCTTCTACTCGATTTTCTGTAGTTTTCTCTGGAACCAAGCGGATATTTGTCTTCTAGTTTGACCCTTTTCTGACTATTAACTCAAAACTGTTTTCTCCTGGGGACTTTTCATATCGGGGTTAGTTTATCAGCGCAGGTTGTTGCAAATACAAATCTGAAAAGACGCGCAGTCTGGGAGTCTGACTCACTGGCTTGGCCCTTGGGGATTTGGAATTGGTGATAAAGCTAGATCCAAAGGGCATAGCTATGTCTTTCATCGGTACCCAACAGAAGTGCAAGGCATGCGAGAAAACGGTCTATCCCGTGGATCAGCTAACCGCTGATGGCGTTGCTTACCACAAAGCTTGCTTCAGGTGCTCTCATTGCAAAGGAACATTAAAGGTAGTCTATTGTAATTGCTTGTTTTTTATATTGCATTGTTGATTTAAGGGGGGAATCGACTATTTTTCTTTACTCTTAGAGCTTACTTTCGTACGTTATTTTGTTTCTTTGCTTGAATCTTCACTTAGTTTGTGCTTCCGTTTGAGTAAACTCCCATAAGCTGGAATGACTTCTGAGAGAATGAATTCTTTGATCTGCGTAGATCGAAGACTGTGCATCCATCCGTGATATCAGCCAAAAGCAAACGGTGGATGTGTAAACTATGGGATGGTTTATCACAGTAGAATGTTACATATTTTGACTTTTTTACAAGAAAACGGTTCTGACTGCTAAAAAAATGAATTTTAAACATTTTTTATGATTTTGAACATATTTTAGTTAACTAGTAAAGCGCTGAATTCTTTATATTATTGATGATCTCTATTTTCAGCTAAGCAGCTATTCCTCAATGGAGGGTGTTCTCTACTGTAAGCCTCATTATGAGCAGCTCTTCAAGGAGACAGGCAGTTTCAACAAGAACTTTCAGTCACGTAGGTCTTCTTGCAAGATAGATCTCTCTTTATGATTTCTAAATCAGATACCTCTTTAATTGGCAATAATTTCATTTTGAACAGCTGCAAAGCTTGCTGATAAGACGACTCCTGAGCTGGTAATAAAAATATTAAGCTCTCTCTGTTGTTTTCTTTAGAAACTATGTTTAGATTATACGGTTCATTGATATCGTGATCTGTCTATGGCATTTGGTTTTATTGTTGAACTTTAGCATTTTTTGTTTATTTTAGACAAGGTCCCCTAGTAAGGCTGCCAGCATGTTCTCTGGGACACAAGAGAAATGCGCTACATGTGGTAAAACTGCTTATCCATTGGAGAAGGTACAGTTCTAGATTTTCCAGAAGTGAATTCTGCGATGCTATTTGATTTAGGTTATGCTTTTGTTACGAATGGATAATATTGGTGCTCAGGTCTTGACAAAGATGGATTTTTATTGCTATTCACATCCAGATTCATTATAGTAGTGGAATTCTTTTCTCTCTGGTTCAATAATATGTGAGCAACAGGAACAATGGTATTCATATGTACCTGGAAATTGTTAGGGCTATGGCAGGATATAAGGATGGTGATACAGTGTCTGTCCTATTTACTTTGATTTAATGAATTTTGGACTTAAATGTCGGCATGAAGAGACATTCAATGGTGTTTGTTACTTACTGGCATTAATTGATGAACATGTATCAACTTCCGTTCTAAATGCCTCCTATGATATCATGTTGTGCTATCAAACATAGATTCCCTTGCGTTGAGTGCCTTGGATCTGAATTCCTTGTCTTATTGAGAAACTTTTTATAAAATGTCATATGTATGACAAGGAACTTGTTGATTCACAGTGAAATAGAATGTACCTATATTTCATTCTTTGCTGCCTAGCAGATTGTCAATATCAACTTTATTTATTATACCAGTGTCCATTTTCCCTGCTTGATGTTTGAAAGATATAAGTAGTTAGCTAGTCAGTGTTACTTATTTATCATGATCACCACGAACATGTTTAAACTGAAGGGCTAGGGTGCTGATGTGATATGTTAATTTTGAATATATATATATATATATAAGAAAGCCATGACATTAGAGTTCAACTCAGTCAGGAAGGGCACAACCAACTCTTTCTCCACTGAAAGTCAGTAACTAAACCTATTTGGTAATGTAATTTACACTACGAAATGGGTTCTATATTTAAAACTAAAGAGAGTATATTTTATGCTTTACCTATATGAGCAAACCCAGTGTCTCCATAGTCATGCTGAAAATGCTTTAGTTTGTTTGTCATCATCTATAAAAGGCAATTATTTTGAGTGTAGGTAACAGTGGAGGGTCAAGCCTATCACAAATCATGTTTCAAGTGTTCACATGGTGGCTGTCCCATATCACCGTCAAATTATGCAGCTCTTGAGGGCATTTTGTATTGCAAACACCACTTCTCTCAGCTTTTTAAGGAGAAAGGAAGTTATAGTCATCTAATCAAGTCTGCATCAATGAAACGAGCAACCACCCCTGTTCCAGAATCCTAAATCTTGCTGCCTGATATTTTATTTTTTGTCCATTGCAAGTGTTTGTATGCGTGCTTTTTTCCTGTTCTGGTTCTATAATGATGGCCTTATACTCGGCCTTTTACATCTTTCTATGTGTGGTGTGCAAATGATTATCAATTGTGCATTCAGTTAAATAGTGTGGCTTGCAAGATGTGTCTTTCAGAGGGGTGGCATGGCCTCTCGTCCATTTTGTACTTGAATTGATAGTGAAGGAATCTTTATTGGTTCCGTTTTTAATGGCTTCACTCATGCAACGTTATAATCTCTTGCAAATCCATTCTCATTCCATATGATCATTCGTTACCAGATCTCCCTTGTATCTCGTGCTGGAAAACCCAGCAGGCAAGCTCACTTGAAAACACTAAGGGGAATTTGAAATAAGTGTAATTCAAACTGAACATATCATAATCATAATTATGTACAAATCACTGAATGGAATTAATCTATGATGGCATTATGCGTTACAGCAAAAACATGAATGTAAAGACCTCAACAAAAGAATTAATGCTAGATATTCCTCGATGACCCCAGTATCATGGGTCTAACAATATAAATAGAGAAGGAATGAGAGAGTATTAGTAACTTATTGAAAATATCTACTGTAGGCTGACTCTGCACAGCTGCCAATACAATGTCAACCCGTTGAATGAGGCTTTCCGAATGGGAAAAAAACAAATGTTCAGTCAAAGATTTCATGACTCCGGATTCTGACAATTACCATCCTTCAACACTTTTGCCTCGTGGAATCTTGAGGTCGTCTGTGCAGTAATGAAAACAAAATACAGGGACATCACTTGGGACTTCCCTAAGAATGTTGTGGCTTGCTTCGCTTCTTGGCTTCACTGTAAAGTATAACTCCACACACTGTGAGCGTGTAGCCTAGCATTCCAGTGACAGACACTGGGTTCCTAAATATAAGAATTGAAACCACTACAGCTACAGCCCCTTTAGCATTCCCGAGTACCTGCATGAGCCAACTCTTATGTTAGACGGTGCATAAATCACATATGCCAAATGCAGAGAGCATCTAATAAAGCAAAAATAACGACTGTGTTGAAAAGGCTGGGGGCTTGAGGTGGATAGAGTAGAGGAAGCCATAAGCAGTCAAGCAACCAAAACATTTGCCCAATCATTTCGTTTAATATATCAATGCAGCCACAGTTCATGATTACTATGAAGAGAATTAAAACTAGACTTCGTTAAGAGACCGCATTCGACTCCAATCAGATTCCTTTCTCCTATCAACTTAAACTTCAAAACATGGTGCCACTACTGCATAATCTTACAATTCTCTGAATCATAAGGTGACATAAAAAGGAGAAGAGAGAGAGAGAGCCGACATAAGCAGAAGTTAATTTTGAACCTTCCTCTTCGAAAAATACACAAAACCACTCAGGAAAATCATCCTCAGTTTAAGTTTCAGCTATGCGGCCTATGGCCATAAATCAATTCACTGCAATTAACAAGACCCTCAGGATTTGTTTTCACTCAGTTGAGAAACAATCAGGTTGTTCAGCTGTGACCAGAGAACCAACTGAACCATGTTTCAACTGGAAATATCTTAAACAAGCCTCCCAGTCCCTATGCTCGTCTTGGAGGTGCAGCATGTGCTGCTAGGAAATATAGATGATCCAAGATCTGAACAATTCTCTTAGATGGCAGCACCATCAGGAGGAGCAGTGGTTCCATATGCATGGAAAAGGGAAATTAGAGGAGGATTTCGTACCACATAGGTGGAAGTGGTTGGAAGAGAATTTGAGTACGGTGATCAGCCTCAGACGAGGGAGAACATTTTGGTAGAAGTACTAGGAAGAATACTGACAATGATTCTCTCAATTTCTTTCTGACTCTTATAGAGAAAATTTTGGGTGCGGGGAGGTAGAAGATGTCACAAGCCCACTTCAGTAGTGAGTCACACTTGAATGCGTGGGATCCCCTCAAGTGATACACCCCATGCACTCAGTGTTTGTCTTTTTCTCCAAAATTGATGCTGTCAACTTCAGGGAAAAATTGAAAGGATCCATTCTCTGAGTATTTTCATATCCTGAGCCATTTTCAGTGTTGCACCTTGTCTCTTCTCTTACTATGTTGGTTTAAGCATTGTCTTTAAGCGCTGTATGCTGGCTCGTAGCAACTTATGAGACATGTTACAGGCATTATAGTACCCTTACTCCGTCATGTCTAACTCATAATCTAAGTTTCCACCGCAGTGTCATACTCCATTTATGTTCTCTGTGCTGTTGGTGTATTGTGTTGTATTCGGTGTTGTTGGAACCTGTCTAAAGGTTATGTAGTGTGATTTGAAGAGTGCTGAATTCCATTGCATAACAAGATCCCCTATGATGAAATACAATATCACTTCCTTTTGCTTTTTGTGCTCTCTTATGGTATTTTTAGCAGGGGATCCCATCGCAAGCATCAAGAGTGAATCTGATGAATTAAACAGATTATGCGACAATTTGACTCCATTGATAACAACCCCATCCTAAATATTTGAACCCATGTACCTTACATGTAAAATTTCATTAAAGAATTCATCTTTAGATCTAATTTATCTTGACCTGTCAGTAAAAGGGTTGGGCAATGCTAAGGTCTAAGCTAGCTTTAAAATTCTCACTGATCCTCTGAATTGTTCTTGGAACAGGCTGGTGTTATTATTTTGTAGTCTCTGATTCTCTGGTAATCATAAGAGATTCTACCTTTCACTAAAACAAGATAAACCCAACGACAGACATAGGAATGCGCCCAAATATGTAGTCAAAATGAGTTACAAAGAAACAAACCACTGGAATGACGAAGACTATGGCAAAACACACATATACTTTAATTTAAATACTGGATTTGTTTGTAACAATTGCAAGTATTTGACCTTTTATTTACAGAAAAGTCTATTAGGTTGAAAATTTTGGAGGGGAAACGCATAGTCCTATCTGAAGAAGTGGGACATACCTGAAGGGTAAGAGCACTGGTGTGCTTTGTGACCAAAAAGTTGGTCAAGTTGACAAAATATGCAAGTGCTGAGTTAAATAGCAGATACCAGATGATCTTGATATCATCTCTGGCAAGAGCTAGTGTGATGCCAACTACATTTTCTTCCATTACAAGTGTGGCTGGAAGAAGGAAAACAACTGCCATTGGAGCCATGTAAAGTAGAAGGTTCATAGAATTCAGCTTCTCCCTGATATAAAATAACTATGATGTGAGTTGTTGTTCCTTAGTAGCACAAAGTGCAGACACGGATCAATGAGTTACTTGAAAATAGCTTACCCTTCGGAAGAAAGTAAAATTCCCTGTAACACCGTTTTGAGGGCCCTTGCAGCTGTAGCTGCAACACATATTATGAACCCAAATAAATGGAAGCTTGGTTCACCCTATAATCACATAAAGACCAATAGAAGTAATAAATTAGAAGTCCGAATATTGGGTGTATAACATAATTTGAACATTACATAAGAAATGAGATCCACAGTTTTTTTCATTTAGAAATTCAACATTTGTGAAGCACCAATCCCAGCGTAGGATTTGTAACAGAAATAACTAAAACATAAAATTACATTTAAAGATTCCCATCTTTAAATGATAAGGAATCAAGTGCCAGCAACAAATTTTCCACAAATGAAAACACCGTCCGTAACATGTACTTCATCCAATTCTAAATGGCATAGAAAAACAAAAGGCAAAATAGAATTGCACATGCAGAATCAAATTATAAATTGAAAAGAAAAATAGGATAACTCACGTACCCCGCTTGCAATGATGACTCCAGTAACAACAGGAATAAGGGTAACATAAGTAAGCCAGGCCTCCCTCTTGAAAGTCATGAGGTAAGCAAAAACTGCAGTGAAGAATGGAGTCGTGGCACCAACTGCCTGGTTGAAGGACACGGGCAAGTACCTAAGCGAAATGTTGCCAAAGACGACGGAGATGCAGAAGACGAAACTGAGGGCGGAGATCTTGAAGAACTGGACCCGGGATCGAATTGTCTGCATAGGCACAACCTTCAACCAAGCTATAGCAACATAGCTGAGCAAGGAGCAAGCGGTCATGTGGCACATGGTGAGGAAGATCGGGTACTTGAAGCCATAGTTGCTGAGCAAGTACTTGTTGAGCAAGAGGACCCCAATGTTGGAGGAGTACCAGGAAGCGATAAGCCCGAATGTGAATAGACGACTCTGAGCCTTCATTTTGGGAGGCCGGCCTTGATCGGCGTCCTGAAATTGGGAAACAGAGGAGAAGGGGGTCAGCGTGGAGGGGTTAATTGTATAACGAGAAGAAGGGGACGGATCTCGTAGGGTTTAAGCCAGGAGGGATCTGAGCAATGGAGGAGCTATGGAGAAAAAGAAATTATGCATGAAGAGAATGAAGAGTGCGCAAGCCTTCTCCCATGGATCTGAGAATCTGATGTCATGGGAGATAAAGGAGCAACACCCGAGAAACAGAGAAATTAAGAAGAAAGTCACAGAATGAGACAGAGGGGCAGAGAAAGAAAGAGAATGGTTCGAATTAAGAAGAAAGCTGGAGGCTTGAGAATTACCGACAAGAAACGTGCCTCTGCAAATGAATGGAAGGGACAGTGGGAAAGAGAAGGAGCATTTAAAGCAGAGGAGGGAAACGCGTACAGCAGAGGCAGAGGCTCATTTTCCTGCACTTCGTTTCGGTTATTTTCCCCCTTTAAAATTGAATTAAAATTTAAAAATATTACTCATCCGATCTTTAATATAAGACCCATTTAACTAATTTGGTTAGATTAAGGAAGTTAGGTAAGTTAGTTAATTATAAGAAAAGTGACACATTTTTTCCAAAATACCATAATCATCTTTCTTAATACCCCCTCTCCCTCTTCTACTTGTATGGGTGAGAAAATTGATAAATATGAGAAATGGGTCTTATATTTAGGACCAAAAACAACTCAAGAATTGGGTCCTATATTAAAGACCAGAGGAGTACATTAATATCTAAATCACTAATAATTACTTATTAGCAACCCAACCCTTTATTTATGCATGTAGGGACGAAGAAAACAAAATCATACCATATATATATTTTTTCTCGTTTTCTCGATGCTTGGGGCTATTATCATTATTATTTTCTGCTAACAATTAAAATTGAATTTATCTAATTAAATTAGTGTTTGGGGAATGAATATGTTAGGTGGGCTAGAATTGAGGTTTGGAAATAAAAACGTCAAAGTGGAGGACGCATCTACCAAGAAATAGGGGGGGCTCAAAAACCATGCTCATTATACGATACAAGTTAAATTGAAAGTATGAGCATTATAATAAAAGGATGAAATGAAATGTTTCTAAAAATTGGAGAATGGTGTGGCGATGAAGCAAACTGAATATCCTAAAATAAATGGGAAAAGATTCCAAGGCGTTAGCATAAATATGGTAAATAAAACGCAAACACAGTTACGGAACCTGAGAAGAGAAGCATTGTTCTCTCTTGAGCACATGCTTCGTCTTTGAGAAGTTAAAATAAGTGGGTTTGAAAGAAACAAGAGAACCGTGTTTGGGAACTTTAAGAAATGACAGAAGATTACTCCAGGGCATTGCGCAAATCAAATAAAAGGTGGCATGATATCAACAAGGAATTGGTTCAGATGATAAGTATCTTAACTCCTTAATCAGACGTATTAGGTTTTAGTCCGGAGCATGAAAAAAATCCTAATCAATTGAGAGACTCCTACTCCTTTCAAGTGACTTCAGTTATGTTGAACCGGATTAGTCGGATTCCTGATAATAAAATCTGATCTTACCAGTAGTTTCATTGTAACCCCAAAAAAAAAAGAATAGAGAGAGGGGTGGCGTGATAGGTGGAAGAGCATTACTGGAGAGGAGACTGGTCCAAACGCCGCCTTCCTTCCTTCGTTGCTTAATCTACTTGCCTAAAACCTATGACTTTTCTTCAACTATTAAGGCCCAAAAATCTGAGTCGTGCAGAAATTAGGTCCTTCCCTTGACCCGTTCCAATTTTGTGTTTCTTGGGTATTTCTCCAAGCAAATTTTGACTGCACAATATCGCAATATTAAGAGGTACTTGTATTATTGTAACAAATAGTCCATTCACAAAGCGGTAGCTGTACTGTGCATGTATTAAAGAAAGAAGCGTGCTAATAACCTGCCTCTGATAATGCCTAAGCATCGCATGGATAAAATAATAGTAGCATAGCATATAATAAGTGGGATTATTATTAAATTTGAAAGGCCGACTAGTACGTTGATTCCCTGATTTGGAGGGTTTTGAGGAGGAAGGACGCAAAGGAAAGCAAAGCAAAAGGGAATTCACATCACATGAAAGTTTTATTACAAAGTGCGTTTCGTTTTGCAGATCACATGACAAATGGAATTGAAGCGTTTCAAGTCACTTTCTCCGTAAGTTTAGGCACAGAAAAATCAACCAAACCCATTACGGCATGAGAAAAGTAATTAATTAATTAATTAAATTGTGTTGAAGTGATCAAACTCATTAAGATGATTAAAGAGGTGAAGTCAAAATTTGGGAGTGGATTTTCAACGAGCGAAGATGGGGTCAGCCCAGAATTGTTCATGCAAGGGATACGCATTCCCCTTGGAATTATAATAAAGTATATATAACCAACACGCGTTAGGCTCAAGATATTTTATTTTTCTAACCTATAACTAAAATAAGAATGATCTATACCTGTTCATGCAACTGTTTTAAAATCTTAGCTCAAACAAGTACTAATTTTCTCACAAGTGAACGACTTTTACTTTGGGGTGTTTGGCATAGACAAAAATATTTTTAAAAAAATACTTTTACTCAAATTGGTATAAATTACTTCTAAAAAGCTAATTCAAGCATCTTATCTTTCAAACAAGTTTGAATTGTGAACTTTTTGTTTATGTTACTATATTTTAAGTTATCCTCAGTAAGTAAGCCTTAAGCTTATAGCTTCTTCTTCTTTTTTTTTTTTTTTTTGCCAAGCAGGATCTATTATTGGATGATTTGAGTTTATCAGTTCTCTCAATTTTTTTCTTTATTTCCCTCAAATTTTTAATACATTAAAGACGTCATGAGCGGCCCCACTTATTGTCATGTACTTGCACTCTCGTTCTTTCACTTCTGTTATTAAAATATTTTATTCATCATATTTTTGAACTAGTTCTAATTCTTCCCTGGCATGCAGCGTGTATAATTTCTCAGTAAGGTACACCTAATCACGTATTAATATAACTGTTATTATGCGTGAGAGTCCAAATTATTAAATAATTGATTGTCCTCTCCGATCCAAAAATAAAGAAATTGTTTGGTATAACAAAACGATTTCCATAAAGAATAGTTTGTGGCACCCATTTAGTGAATTAATGGGCAACATGTCATCCAAGACTACCATATATGATGAAAGAAGCCATGATATGAGACATGTTGTTCAGCTCATCGGCTTCCCCTTCTTTATTCTTCACCAAAAAAAAAAGTCATACTAAGTCAATAAAGGCCACATGAGTCGCAAGTAAATAAGTTAATAGTAAGAATGTGGGATGGGTTTTGTTTTTCTTTATATAAAAGTACTCCTCTAGTCTTTAATGTTGGATCTAATCAAGCAGTTAATATTGGTCCTATATGTAAAACCTATTTCACATGTTTATCAATTTTTTTTAAGATTAACAATAATCAAGTAGGGAAGGGATGAAGAGAATTGAGAAAATTGCTTAAGGTGTAATATTAGCTAATTTAATTAACATTCTTAATCTTCTCAAATTAGTTAATTAGATCTTACATTAAGAATTAGAAAATAATTTTTAAATGCTTATGGCGTTTTTCATACAGCCGAGATTGTGAATGTGTGTAACTGTGCATATTGATTCTAGCTTTTTAAAAAATATAACTCAAAGTTGCTTTATTTATTTTTCATCCGACTGAATAAGTTGATGTGTTTGACTTTTTATCAGGTCTTTTGTTTGTTGTAAAGCTCAAATTATCATCGTGCAAAGTTGTGAGTTGGGACTCTTACAATTATACTCATTAATAATACTCCGTCCTAATTATAAGACCAATTGACTTATTTGAGGAGATTAAGGTAAGTTAAATTGGTTTTTATAATAAATAAGTGTTGTCATTCCTAAAATATCCTTGTTAATTAAGTACATTGGCTAAAACTATCATTATTAGAAGGATTATCTTGGAATGCATAAATATAAGAGAAAATGGATTGGGTCTTATAATTAAGACCAAATAAAAAGTCAAATTGGGTCTTATAATAAGACCGGAGGAGTAGTAACATTTTCATTCCTTTAATCCATGAGAAGTAACGTCATGATCACATTTGTTATTAGGAAGGCATTGACCGTTGACCCTTTTTTTGGGGGATCTCAGATTGCCTTTTTTTTTTTTTTTGCAACTTTGGGTAAACATGTGGAAGTGCACATGGTTCAGGAATATGCACGCATACAAAACCAATTAAAAAACATGTCGTAGGATTATTTCTTGGTCTCAAACTATCATTTCTCCAATGAGAATCTGAAGATCACTGTATAGATTTAGGAAGAACGATCAAACAATTAACCACATAAATTTGATGTTACTTGGGATACGTTGCTCGAGTCTTTATTATTATTATTATTATTATTATTATTATTATTATTATTATTATTTATGCTACAAGTTTATTTATTTATTTATTTTGGTGAAGAGTCTTTATTTATTATTGCCTCCAATGATATAGACATCGCAACTGACTTCTTTATTTTTTAACAAATCGGGCCAAAACACATATCCTTCCAAATATTTATTGGTTAGGTGCGGAGATCGTAGAGGGATGAGCAAATAGTAATAAATGTTTTGGCAATACTATATAGGAACGGATTTGATTCCAAATTCCAAAATGATCCCCCCTGCGCTGGACCATTTGATTAACATTAGGTTATATGCATATATTTCCCAAGTCTCACATCAGCAATTTGATGATATTATAAACATGGATCAAGCAACCAGTACTCTTAAATCAAATACACCATCCAAAATTTGGGATCCAATTCTCTGCATCTTCAGTGTCAAATGATAAGTCGGCTCCATATATTGCTCGAGATCTCTCGTAGAAAAAATCTTTTTGTTCAAAGCTTGTAAACTTCATCATCTTGTAAATTTGTTAGCCACAGTTATATAATCGTTCAATATTTACGCAGAAACACACAGCTTGATCCAGATCTAAGAAATTACACAACAAATATCATCTTTGCCGTCAAATAAAAACATGATCTGGAAGAATTTTACTGAAATGAGTCAATAATGCGATGCTAATCTGAAAAATTATACTCTTGCCATGATTTTATCAAAAATCAGACAACAAAGAACATAATATATATACCTAGTCTTCTTTTAAACCAAGGGTTGTCGCAACGCTGATTGACACTCATGGGAAATAATGCAGATCTTTCCACATCATGAACAAGCAATCTATTGTGCTCAACAGAACAAAAGGTCATAAATTAAACTAAAAGAAAACAGCCTCCTCCTAGTTATGAATAAACGCTCTTCAGACTACACGATGCGCCCTGAGAATCTGCAACAAGGAAAATCAAAATGCAAAATAAGAACAAGACAACATAAATTATTGATGAAGTAATTAAGATAAAATGGCACGCAACCACGTCACTAGCCATGCGGTTTAAGAGCGAACACTGAAAGTAACTACCAACAGTAAACCGAACAGCAATATAAAGGTGCACGCCAGACAAAAAGATGACATTGACCATGGTACCTAGTGGGCATATGAATAAAATACTATCTCCAGTCCTCAATATAAGAGCTTGTTTGACTTTTATTCTGGTCTCAAATATAAGATCTCAATCTACTTTGTCTCTTATACTACCTCCGGTCCTTAATATAAGACCCTGTTTGACTTTTATTTGGTCCTAAATATAAGACCCCAATCCACTTTGTCTCTCATATTTATGCATTTTTTCCAAGATAATCCTTCTAATAATTGCAGTCCTAGCTAATATAGTTGATTAGTAAGGATATTTTAGGAACGGCAACACCTATTTATTACAAATAACTAACTTAACTTCTTTCCTTAATCTCCTCAAATTAGTCAACTGGGTCTTATAATTAGGACCGGAGGTAGTATTTATCTATTTTTCCCCAAGATAATCCTTGTAATAATAATAATTCTAGCTAATACACTTGATTAGTAAGACTATTTTAGAAAAAATAATACTAATTTATTACAAATAACTAATTTACTAATTTTTTTAATTTACTCAAATTAGTCAACTAGTTCTTATATTAAAGACTGGAGGTAGTATATTACAAAATTTATAACTTATAATAAGCTGCATTAATCACCAAGTGTTTCTGGTTTAAAAGAAATATTTGTGCAAAAAAGAAAGAGAGCTCAAAATGAAGATCTATGGCAGAAATTCACAACCCTACCATCGTCTTGGCTTGAAGAGAAGCCATGCATGCGTATTGCAAATATCTTATTATTGGGGGGGAAAAAAGCTTATGATTGAGCAGTAACAATGATTAGAACTTCCCATAGTGAAACTTCCAGACCATGGGAAACAAACAAATGGCAGAGCGTATGAAAATAAGTTACCCATAAGTATGAAAGTCATGGCAATGAACAACTCAATTTGAAGTGTCAAAGTTATAGAAGCAACCTACAACATGAGGTCAAGTTCTACCGACGCAATCTCACAACACCATCTTCACATAAGGAAGATTGCTATGATTTGACTTTACATTCAACACTTAGCAGCAGTTGATCTAGTCAGCATCTCTCAACGCAAATGTAAAGATTATGCTATATTACCAATCATTTCCATAAGTGTAAAAAGAACAAAAAGAACTGAACATGTCAAAGAAGAACACAAGAGTATCAATAAAACGGAATAATTACCTCAAATGTTGCTTGGATACATGAAGACTCTTACCCTTGCTCCCTGCACATAGATTAATTTTCAATTTTCAAATGACTCAGAAAGCCTCAGCCAAAGCTATGTAAAAGTGTTCATCAATTCTATTTCACAACAATCACCATAGATTTGGGCGGCAAATTTGACTTGAATTTGGCACGGACAATCCCACTGTTACCATGAGGGCGGGTAACCTTCCCCCAAATGCAGCGGTAGTGGCTTCCGTTCTTCTTCACCTTGGCCTTGTAAATGTATGCCATGCGCTTGCCACTGTACCATGCAACCTCTTCCTTGGAGTTCACTCCCTCAATCTGGATAAGTGATGTATTTGGGTATTGGTTTGACTTGGACCTGGACAACATTATCAAATTATCAGCTTAAAAACAAAAATCCAAACTAATCAATATCCACTGAACCAAATCTTTCACTGGATACTCTTAAGGAAATCTTCAATGTAATAAAACGCATTATACGAGGGGGGAAAAATGACAATTTAGTTTGAGAAGAGTAAAATACCTCTTGTATCCAAGGATTGACCCTCGAACATAGAGTCTGGTATAAAAGGAAAAACAATCAAAACATTAGCATCAGGAAAAATGAAAACAAATAAGAAAGTTCAGACCAAGAACATAATATGCATAAATAAATCTGTGAAATAGTCAAGCTCCTATGTATACCCAGAAATAATCAAACACGCAATTATGCAACCTTATAAGCTGCAAACTTGCAATATATACCACGAAAGCTTGTTCTTTCCAGTTATTGTTAATATAATACCAAGGTCTAAATAAATGTGTGTATATTTTTATTCCACTTTATTTAAACAAATGGATACCAAATTGTAAACATATATGCAATTTTATATACCAAATGATGCATTTCCCATAAGAATAATCCAACAGATCAAATTTCTGTAAACATCATCAAATGGTTCTATCATCAGCTGCTAATTTCTGTAAAAAGGCCTAATTAAAGTTAATCGACTTCTATACTTGGCCACAATGATGCAAGAGCTTACAAACCAATGCAAAATAAGTACATAACGTTCAAAGCAATATCTGTGAATCATCTGTAATGATGTCTCCACGTAACGGAAAAACAGAACCCGAGAACTGCACAGGCAACGTACTACTATAATCAACATAAGGTAAAACCAAGTGGAGAGCTCACGGCCGCAGCTCAAAAGACCAAATTCACTCAAAAATGAATCTTTATGAGCAACCCGTAGAACTGAGCTGCAGCAGCTATGGTTTAAGACTCAGGTAAAAGGAGATTAGTAATTAGATCACAGACCTAACTCGCTCTCCTTGGCGTCCCTTCACCATCTTCGGCTGGTTGGCTACGCTCCCCAGTTGATGTAGAAGCGGAGATCGGCGGAGAGCTGGGGATCGAGGGTTTTTATCAAACGGAGAGTTTAAAGCACAGGTTGTTTTCATAACTGGGCTCTCGTCTATTTGGGCTTCGGTCCACTTCGCTGTTTTAGGGCCCATTAATCCAGCTTGGTAATGCAATTTGGATTAACTTTAATTAGGCCTTTTTATATCTTCCCCCCCTCCCCCAAAAGCTAACGTGTTTAAACGGATCAAATGAAGTTTGATGAATGACTCGTGCTTTAAGATTTTTATTTCATTCACGTATCAATATATAAATTGGTGACAATTTCCCCTCTTTGATGCTTTACCATGTTCTTAATGGCACATTTGGCTTACGCGATTTCAAAAAAGAAAGGTACATAAAAAGTAAACTAATGTAATTATTCAGGGCAAAAAAAAGGCAATGTAATATTAAAAATCTTATAACAAATAAGTATCATAAACCTTTTTTTTTTAAATATTAAAACTGCTTGCTTGGTTGTGAGATTTTTTTTTTAATTATTTTTTTCAAGACAGTGGTCTTCTACTAAAAAGAGAAATTAGTATTCCTCCACTCATCCCCATCCCGCACATCCTCCCAGACGTGGTTCATGCAATGATGTGCTTATTTGGAGACATTTATATAAGCATTTATAAACACATTTTACGTAAATCAAAATAAAAAATTTTTTTATACGTTTATATTTGGTAAATCACAACTAAAATACAGTTTATAAGTTATTTCACAGATGATCGATTGTGTGAAAATTTGAAATGGCGCGATAACAAAATTAACAAGAAAGAAAATATTTGCCCCGTTCAGGCTGCCAAAAATAGGAAACGGTGAGGAAATGAATCAGACTGTGCTCTTCGCTCCGCGCTGTCGTTTCTCTGTTTTTCTAATTTCCTCTGTCCTTCCCGCCGTTTGGTCCAACAGAAGTGAAGCGCATCAGCACCATTTTCTTTATCAGCTTATCTCTCCCGTTATCTTGCCTCTCAATCTTCTGACCTGATCTACCTTTCTATTACGGTTTATATTTGGGTTTCCACATTTTAGCTTTCTCTTCGTAAGTTTTTTTTCTTTTTCGCTTTCCCATTTGTTCCTGCTCTAAAGTAGACTTCTTGTTCGACGTCTGCATTGTTGGGTATTGATTTTTTTGGGTTAGATCTGGGAATCCTACTTATATATACTAAAGTTTTCTTTCGATTCATTGCTGTATTTCAAAGTTTGGCATTAATACCTTCCTTATTCTATTGGAAATCCTTTTTGATCGTATTCTGTTCTGTTGTAAGGTTTGGCTGCATCAATATCCAAAATTTTAGCACCTGAATCTTCGATTGGCTTCATTGTGGTTCTCACAAGCAACTTAGATTATAGACGCCCATTAAGGGCGGGCATAAGGGTGGATGTCTGTTTGTCGATAGTTTTAGTACTTCAAACTTAATTAGATCGTGCATTAGTGTGTACAGATTCTCGAAAGTTTATCCATGTGAACTTTCAGAAATCATGCTTTCTTGCTCTATTGTCATGGGTCCAACAGATGGTGGATCAAATATATGATTTTACCAACCTTGGGTTGACCCTTATCCTTCTTAGTTTTACAGCTGCCTGCCATGCTACATTACCATGACAAGCGAACGTATTGATTAACTGGTGCTTGAAAAGCCATGGTTTGGTTCTGTTTCGACATTTTAATGCCGTGACAATGTCTTGTTTCCAATTCTTATGATGTCCCACAATCAGCAAGGTTCTTTAAAATGCTGCTGCAGACCGGTGTTAGAACGGTGATGTGATATATTGGTAACATTGGAATTAGAAGCACAGCTCAGATTTAGGAAATGGTGTTTGATTTTATGAACTAAAGCAGGGCCTCCCAAGGCATAAGGCATCAAGAGTTAAAACC